TTTATCGTCAAGAAACTGAAATGAAGTATGAGGAATGACTCAAGACCTTTTCAAATATTCCTTTTGGTTTGCCTGCTTTAGAGGTTATGGTTTCTGAAACTGAGCAACAGGGTGGTGTCTCTGTTAGTACTTCAGATGCTGCTGATGCTACTGCTTCTAAGTATGAGATGACTTTGGTTGATGGTCAACCTCTTGGTTCAAAGGGGAAGCAAGTTATAGAAGTTGAAGACCATCCAGCTGGGCTGAAGGATGTTTTGGAAAAACATCGGGAAGATAATTGTTTCATCCATCAACGCTTGGATAAGCATGATGAAAGGATTTCTACTCAAGAGGCTTCCTTCAAGCAAGTGTCTGATGTGCTGATGAAGTTCATGGAAATTTTTTACAAGAAGGATGATGCTTGAAGCCTTAGCCCTTTGTCTTAGAACTTAAGAATTGTTTTTCTTTTGTTTCTAAAACAATTGTATCTTTATCCCTTTGGTTTTCAATGAAAATTTTACTTTTTTCTTTTAAATATTTGTTATTTATGACAAAGGGGGAGAAAGAGTATATGATTTTGATAGTATTTAATCTCATAATCTCAAACCCAAACATAATATAATTCTTTTACTGCTAACCATTTGTTTGATTTTTGATTCAGGAACCTTATGAAAGTTCACTGATTTTCTTATACGGGTTAATTGGCTATCAAAAGATTATTAATTGGATATCATAAGATTACCATCTTCTAATCAAAAGACAACATCAAGATGTGTGAAGTATGCTCTGATGAGCTAAGCATCTAAGAACATGTATTCATTAGAAGTTGTGAACTATCTAAAAATGAATCATGTCCTGATACCATAGATTGGTCAAAAGTTTCTGAATGAGTTAAAGGTTGAAACAAGTTTTGATACAACGTATGTTTCAGAAGTTATGAACTTCTTGAAAATATAGTTAAATCAAGCTCTGATACACCTATTGTTCAGAAGTTGTGAACCTTCTTGAAGTAAGGTAATCATGTGTTGATAACACATATTGTTCAAAAGTTGTGAACTTTGTGAAAATATGGTTAATCAAGCTTTGATATCCCACACTACTCAGATGTTGTGAACTCTATGAAAGTAAGGTAATCATGTCTTGACAATAACTATTGTTCATAAGTTGCAAACTTTCTGAAGGTATGGTGATCAGTCTCCGACGTTTCAGAAGTTTTGAACTTTCTAGAAGAAAGACAAGGTTAATATGTTATTAAGCATTCATTTCAGAAGTTGTGAAATATCTGATAGAATGTTAATGTATGCTTTGGAAAAGTTTTCTCTATTACGACAAAACTATTCAGAAGTTATGAACTATCTAAAAGTTTTGTAATCAGATCCTAGTAATCCAGACTCTGATACTTCAGAAGTTGAGAACTTCTAGAAGTGTAGTAAGTCTGCTTTCAACCAGGCATTGTTTAAAGGTTGTGAACCTTCTGAAGATACAATCAAGAGACATGGTTAGATGACATGGTCTAAAGACATGGTCTAATATATGGTCTAAATACATGATTGAAAGACATGGTTAGACATGGTCGAAAGACATGGTCTAAGACATGGTCTAAAGAAATGGTCTAAGACATGGTCTAAAACATGTTCTAAGACATGGTTTGAGACATGTTCTAAGACATGTTCAAAAGACATGGTCTGAGACATGGTCTAAGACATGTTCTAAGACATGGTCTGAGACATGATCTAAGACATGTTTAGAAGACATAGTTTGAGACATGGTCTAAGATATGTTCTAAGACATGGTCTGAGACATGTTTTAAGACATGTTCAGAAGACATGGTCTGAGACGTGGTCAGAAGACATGTTTGAAAGACATGGTCAGTCATGCAATGGTTCTGGTGCTTAACCTTCTTAGGACTTGATGTTTTTCATAATCTAGTGACACAATTAAAAGTTTATGGAAGAACTAATGAATTAGTTATAATGTTTGATGCAAGTCATCAAGACAGTAACTAAAACAGGTTCTGATACTTCATAGTGTTTTGATAGTAACCCAGGTTCTGAGATGAAGACCAGGAATTTTTAGTCAGACTCTGATGAGACGTCAATGGAGAAGTATTCCTTATCTATGTTACCTTCTGTACTGCAAAATTCATTTTGTAAGTCTTGGGCTCAGGGGCAGACTCTGAACAAGCATAAATGAGATTTTGGGTATTAACAAATTTAGGGGGAGCTGGTTAACTTTTCTTAATTTGCATCCTATAGTGATTACCCTGTATGAATTATTCTATCAAAATACATGGTTTTATCATCATCAAAAAAGGGGACATTGTAAGAACAAGATTGGTTCTGCATATCGCCGTAAATTTTGATGATAATCTTGCATGTTATCTTAGAGAACAATTGTGTACTCTAATGGTTTCTGTCTACTGTGTAGATTTTGCTAAATAGGTTCCGACTCTAGTAAGAAGGCGTGTGACGTCATCAGGTTCTAAACTTAACACTCTGGAAGAATACCTTTAGTGTGTTACAAGTTAAGTCAAGATTCTAGAATGCTTCTTATGTAACGGTTCTAAGGAACGTTCGTATAAGATCTTCTGATCGTAACTTAGGCAAGAAAGCTTTGGAGGCCTTCTAAAGCTTTACTTTTGTTGTTCCAAGTTCTGAAGATGCTGAAGACAAGGTTCTGTTGAACGAGTTCTAAAGATCTAAAGACATTCTTCTGAAGACTAAGTGTTGAAGACTCTATAGGAAAGGGTTCTCTGAACAAGCTCTGAAGACTCAAAGACTTAGGTTCTAAAGATACAAGATTTTGATCCTTCTACAACATGCTTCATCAACATATAAATTAGAAGTCTCTGAAGATGCATAAAATAAAGGTAAAGACTAGGGATGTGTGTGATGGTGAGCATAAAAGTACAAAGTACCATGTGACCCCTACTCTAACAGGGTGGTTCCAGGACAAGCCTCTGTGTACTTATTATCTACCATTCTCACCATGATTGTTGGGAACAAAACATCTGTATTTATGTTTCCTATTCTACCCTCTAACAGATCTCTTTTTCAACTATAAAAGGAGGACTTGGAAGAATTTGAAATCAACGAACCAGTTCTACAAAACTACACCAAACGCTGCACAAACTCATTTGATAAAATCTTTGTATAGTTTTGTAAATAAGCAAGGAGTTATTGTTCGTATCTTGCTAATCAACAATTTTGTGTTGCTGTACTTAAACTTTGTGTAATCTGCTTTTGTAGAAGCATCTTTGTATAGACATCTTTGTAAGTCAACGGTTGTTGATACGTTTCTTGAGAGACTTTGTGTAGTCTGGATTCTCAAGAAGACTTTGGTTGTTGTCATAGTGGATTTGCAATAAGGATCGACGAACTTATTTGAGGTGCCAATAAGGTTGGTCAGACTTATTATCATTGTCTATAATTTGGTTGATTATAGTGGATTAAGTCTTTGTGTATAAGGAAAATCACCTTGCGGGGTGGACTGGAGTAACTTGTTAAAATTAAACCAGGATAAAAATAATTGTGTTCATCCTTTATTTATTCACTTGTTATCTTTGTGTTTGAGTTGCGAAAAGATTATATTTGATGCAACCCAATTCAAACCCCTCTTTCTTGTGTTTCTCGCACCTTCAGGTATCCCACAAGAAAGTGACAAAGGACCAGGTGCATTAGTGTTGGGCGAGCTTCTGCATTTGTAGCAATAGGTGCCTGAAATAGATCTATTGGTCACCCAATTGAGTTGTCGCCCATGGTGAAATACCCGATAGTACATGGGTTAAAACCCATGAATCACACCATCTATCACACGTGTCTTCGTGGTGGATGAGGAATAACACGGAGAAACATTCAAGGATGGATAGTTGTTTACTCCACAATGGAAGGATTATTCGTCCCTTGAAACTTGCTCTCCAAAACTCATACATAAACGAGTTCTCAACACACACAAACACCCTAAAGCCTCTGGTACCCCTAGACAAATAAGATTACGCTTCATTGTATTCTAAACAAGAACACCTTTGAGGTTGCTACCACCAAACCTTAATTGGTGAAGTGGTGAAACAAATTACAGGTCTAATTTTGGTCGTTTCAATACTAGTTTGACGATATCATAGTAAGTTAAGTGAATAATTGATTTAATAAAAAGACTGACCCGTTTATATTATTAGTTTGTGATTGAATTAGTCATAACAATCGGTGTTTAGTTAGAAACTTAAAACACTATTTTTATTTTTTTTATTTCTCCTTTATGATTTCAGAGTTTTTTTATATTTTTATTTTTCTTAAAATTAATGATGAGACAACATCATTTATTGATATAGGACAAAACTTTAACAACATCATAACTTTTAAAATAAAAATACACACTTATTTAAAATTTCAAATCTTTTGTGTTTTAAAAAAATTTAACATGGAACGGAAATTTTAGACTTTGTTTAGAGAAACTATTAAATAAACAAAAAACATAAAAAATCAAAAGAAAATAGAAAATAGACCGATGATCCAAAGTAATTTTACACAGTCATCTAATAAACTGACGTATATTTTACCATATTATGCTGATAATTTTGAAAAAAAACTTAAATGATTTAATAGTTTTATGATTCTTTATTAGATGACTGTAAAATTTGTTTTACACTGGCTACATGATTGGGGATCAAAATTACTCTATTATGATATATTGTAGTCCAAACACTACATTAAAAAGAGCTATTTTAAAAAATGGCAACAGTTCTTAAGATACATACAAACTCCAGTCTAATTTTTGAAGTCATCTTAACTGTTTTACATAGGTTGGATCTTCAGGTTAAAAATTAGAATAAAAAAACAAAATGTAATATTTTTATTGGTGTAAATAAAGAACTAAATAAAGCAATATACTAGTACATATGAATCGAACAAAAAAATCGACTATTACAGTATGCCTGTTGGAGTAATATATAGTCCAGAGCCCCACCATCCTATTCGACAAGCTTGTCACTAGTGACAAACCAATGCCAAAATCCGTTGACAAACATGAACTTTCCCAATCTCATTCTCATCCTAGTTTGTTTCCATTTCCTCTTCAACCTTCATCAAACACAAGCTGAATCAGAAGCATGTTTAGACACTGCTTGCCACACAAATCAACCACCAATCCGATTCCCATTCTACATAGAAACAATACAACCAAACAACACATGTGGCTTCCCAGGTTTCAAACTACTATGCAGCAATAAAAATGGAAAAAACCAAACACTCCTTAATCTACCTTACATGGAAGAATTCAACATCCAAAAAATAAACTATGCTACACAAGAACTTTTCGTCAATGATCCCAATAACTGTCTCCCAAAACGACTTCTCTCACTTAACCTCTCTTCTTCTCCATTCCACGCCGTTTACTATCAACAGTTCACCTTTTTCAACTGTTCCTTCAAGTTTAAACATCTCACGTCTCGTTACAAACCAATACCTTGTCTAACTGATTCTTCCAAGTACAACGTTTTCGCAACACCGTCGCTTACGGTGTTTTTGCACTTGTCGTCTGTTTGTGACATAGTTGACACCGTGAATGTGCCGGTTCAATCGCCGTTTTATGATCGAGTGTTGTCGTCTCAACTCGACGATGATCTGAGGTTGTCGTGGAATTCGCCGTCATGTCGTAGGTGTGAGTCTCATGCTGGAAGATGTGGGTTACAAGTTAATTCCAGTTTTGAAATTTCTTGTTACAATGTTCCTCCAACACAAGGTACTAAATAATAATAATTGTATATATTGTATATTGTTTCTCATGATGTCTCTATTTGGCAGAACAATCTTAACCTTCAAGTGTGGAATAGAAAAATTTGGAACCATTATTTAATACTAACATATTATATATATGACAGAGTTGCAGGCTTATCTTATTTAACATTTACCTTAATCTCTATTTTATTTGTCCTTTTGAATTGTTAGCATTCGACATTTTTGTCCCTTTTTAATTGTTTGCATGTGTTACATCTAAAATGATAAATTATCAACAAAATGATATATAGTGCTAAAGTGGTTAATAAACTCTACTTCTGAACAGAATTTTCAAATAACCTGAATTTAAATAGTGAAATTCAAAAACAATTACAGGTATTTCCCGTGGTGCAAGTTACGCCATAGCCATATCTATAGGAGTACCAACACTATTATGTTTCATTTTGATATTGAGCTGGATATGCAGCAATCTCAGATATGGAATCCATGGTTGGACTTGGGCTCGTGATACGGTGGCAGATTTCGAGTCTCTTCTTAATTCTCAACAATACAACAACATCTTAGGTCTTGATAAACCTACAATTGAATCTTACCAAAAAATAGTTATAGGTGATGATGGCATTCACTTACCAAGACCTAATGATAAGACATGCTCAATATGCTTGTCGGAGTATATGCCTAAAGAGACCGTTAAAACTATGCCTAAGTGTGAACATTGCTTTCATGCGCAATGCATCGATGAATGGCTTCCACTGAATTCGTCGTGTCCAATCTGTCGAACTTCTCCAACATGCTTACTACCATCAGAAAATCTAGCTCAATCATGACTATAATGCTTAATCAATTGTTGAGTTGTTAATGAACCATGTGGAGGTTAGTAGGTTTTATTTGTTTATATTGTAATTTGGATTTGAAATTGCTAAATTAGTGAAAATGTTCAAAGAACCAGTATTTACTTGTCTTTTACTTTCACCATAGATGTTATTAGAACAATTTTTAAACTACTTGTCATAAGAAGTTCTTGAGAAATGTTTATTAAAATGCAACTTTGGTCGTACTTGACCAGAGTGATCGCCAAGGCCTTATGTCGAGTTAAGGTTGAAAATGAGATGAGAGTATCTACAAGACACTCCGATGCTAAAATAAGTTTCAGAGAGGGAGCAAGCAAGTGTGAGTATGAGTATGAGAATGAATACTTGACCCTCTCAAATGAGAGGGTATTTATAGCCCCTAGTGCTGAACCAAGATCCCTATCGTTGGACCACGATGAGATCCAATAATGAAGTCTGTCAAGGCTTACGTGTGTATGGAGTCCAACAAGTGGACCCCCCCCTCCCCCCCCTAGTCAACTGCTTCGCGAGAATAGGGGTTGGGCACGTAATTTCCGGAGGGCAGTTAAGATGACAATGACGCGGACACATGGACCACGTTCCCCAACGGATGCGTGGGAAGTTTCCCAATGGTCCCTAGCTTGGGCTGCTTTCCTTTGGGCCTTATACAAGGGTGCTGGATTGAGCCTCCCAACCGTGGGGCAAATGCAGGCCCACGCCAGATCAGGATCCCCCAAGTTACTGTCCTTAGGTGAAAAGGGTGATGACTTAAGTTCATCTTTTATAGCCGGGGAGGATTCGCTCGGGAAGGAAGGTCGTAGTCCTCTAAAAGGAAATGAGTTTCTGCCCGTGACGGAGACAACCTGTTTGAACGTGTCGGAGATCTTGTGGACAAACGAGCAGTGAGACCGACTGGGTCAGTTATTTGTCTGACAGGAGCAAATAAGTTACGAGGAGCTTCCACAAATTCTCTTTCGATGTGTCCGTTTTCAAGGTGTTGTCACGATGTCGAGTGCTATTTTACCCTCGAGGTGGATCGCGACTGTTGTACCCCAAAATTTGCCCTCCCATTTCTCAAAGATTCATCCTGGACTCTCAGTTTTGCTTCTATCAAGTTCCAAGTCTTGAATCATCGCTTTTCAAGGAAATCATCCATAAGGGTAAAATGGTCAAAAGTACATTGAAAAAGTCAAACTCTGACTTTTAAATCAAAATCAAGTTCCAAGAACCATATTCCATTAAGGCATGAAATTGGTTCATCAAAAATCAGAAGTCAGAAGTTACTTTGAAAAACTGAAATTTCTAAGCATTTAGAAAATTTTCTAAGTGTTAAGAGAGTATGATACTTCAGAACTTCTGAGCCAACCTCCACACAAGTGCAGTCAGAAGTTGCAAACACGGTTCAGAACATGACGCTTCAATCGGAACATGCAGAAGTGACGCTCTTTGGTCAGAACATAACGCTTCAATCAGAACATACAGAAGCATTGCTCTTTGGTCAGAATATAATGCTTCAGTCAGAACATGATTCTTCAGCATATGGAGGCTATGTTCAATGCTCTGGTCAGAAGATGCCCCTTCAGCGTTTGGAGGTTACGTTTTCTGATCTTCTGCAATCAGAACATCACCAAATCCCAAACCCCGTTTAAGTAACCTGCTGCCTGCTATGGCACATTCCTGCGATCAGTTGCCACAACACTCCAAGGTGCTGCTGATTCAGCCCACGCCTGCGTTTTTCTTGCACCAAATTAGCCTACAAAAACTGTGATTTAAAAACAAAGGGACAATATGCCAAAAATGTTTAAAAACTTATTTGTTTTTCCCCCCAAAACCACAGTAAATCCATCTATAAAAAGTTTGTTCCATCACACGTTCAAGGGGTTGGTTTTGGGAGAGAGAGAATCACCAAAAGAAAGAAAAAGCCTTGAAAATTTACAAAATTCCAAGAATCTGAAAAGTTGTAAACACCAAAATACCAAAACCTTAGCATTTGATTCTAGCATCAAAACTCCATTGTTCCTTGACTAAAACCATCCCCCACGGTTGCTGATTCACATACTAGAAGCTATTTTAACTTATGTATTCATACTGTCATACACTCTCCATTCACCTCCATCTCAAAGAAGTCAGAGTATCACCCCTTGGCTGTTCTAGAAGTTGAAAACCTCCATCCTGTTGAGTACGTGAAAAAGTTTCTCAGAACATCACCAGAGATCAGGACCAACCTCTAGTTTACAGAATCTTTTCCAGCTGCAAGGTAAACTTCTGCTGACTCTTATCACGTTGTTTAAGCATTATCAGATTTGCATGTTCAAAAATACAATATAGATACCATATTTCTGACGTTATACATATTTTGAGGCTTCACGTATTTGTCTGCCTAAGTATGGAATAAATCAGTTTCAGAACTTCTAGAAGAAATTAGAACTTAGAATTAGGATTCGCAAATTCACACTTGTCTCTGATTTATAATTCTAATATTTCTTGTTTCTGAAATGCTATAAAACCTGCCATAACTGTCATATGTACATCTTTTATTTTGTGGAGAAATGACCAAATTGCAGATGTTCTGACTAGCATGGAAAGAGAGACCAAGTTCTGCCAATGATATCAGAACTTCTAAAATCCACTTTGTTACTAATGACATCAGAACTTCTGAAACCTACTCTGTTGTCGGTGGTATCATAACTTCTGACAGTTAATGTGCTTCCAGTGGACTCAGAACTTCTGACTCTACTTATTTTTTTTTTACTAACAGGAATTCTGTTTTGCAGTGTGCCAGAGTCAGAACTTCTGACCTCCCTTAATCAACAATACGCTGATTCTTTTTTATCCTTTTTTCTCATTATTTTTGCTATCACTTTCTATTTTATTAATCAACAAACACCAAAAACATTTTTTCCATGCTTTACTTTATTTCTTAAAACAAAAGACAAAAAATATTTCCTTAAACAAAACTTATTTCTTTTCTTAAATAAATAAGCAATTTACATTTCTTGCGCATTCTAATCCATTTCGATATGGTTGTAATAGTAACTTAGGATTTAATTTTACTTGCAACCCCCACTCATAAATATGTACCCCCATCCCCCTAAAGTGGTGTAATAGCTTAGACTTTATTTTTTCGCGTTTTACTTGCTTTTCATATTTTGCTAGTAAATAGGATGTATGGCAAGACATGAAAATAACAAAATAGACAATTCTAATCAATATTAAAATGCATGCAATCAAACACACTATTCACACATGCACCCTTAGGGTAATCCCATTTCGTTACCTATCGGAAAAATAGTCATGTCCCTCGAACATGGGCATTTTAGAAAAGACCCTCGATAAAAGATCGTAGTCCCTCGATGACCCTCGATGTTTCCTTCGGTAAACAATATATTCCCTAAAACGACATTGCTAAAACGTTCCATGAGTTTTCTTCTATGACTATACAAACGTCCCTACACCCGTCCCTTCACATCCAACGATGAGGCTTCTTACCAAATCAATGGTAAGATAGCCACATATAAAGGAGAAGGGAAAGCACACTTAAGACCTTTCGAGTAGGTATGTTCTCTCTTAGTCGCTCGCTTGATCACAACAAAACATCTTATACACCAACACTCTCATTTTGAAACACTTTTAAAAAACAAACACTTTGTACGCGTTCTTATAGAGACGAGAGCCATAACAAAGAAAATCATTCTTAAAATCACTTTCAAAAACACATCCCACAAACACCTCTTTGAACTATTTTCAAAACAAAACTTTGTACGCATTCTTATATAAACAAGAATCATTGCAAAGTTACATTTTCGAAATACTTTCAAAACCACACAAAGCACATTCAAACAAAAGCAAGCGATCTAGCGAGTAACTAAGAGCCCATGGAAAACCATGGATGAAAAGGATGCTAATACCTTCCATTTTCATAATCTACCCCCCGAACTCAAAAACATCTCTAAAGGTCTTTCCTGTGCTTTTGCACCTTTCCTTTTTGGATAAAAGAAAATTCGGTGGCGACTCTAGCTAAATTGCAACATTTGCAAAGACAAACGCAAAACATCAAGTCAGTTCTCCCACCGTATCACAGAACTGGAGACTCTGCTGGGGATTATCTTAAAAGTGGGGTTACCTTAGGGTTAGATCACATTTACTTGGTTTCATTGTTTGATTTGTATGCTTTACATTTGGTTCTCTGTTTGGGCTTGCTTTGATCCTCCACCCGGATCTGGGACACCTTTTTAGGTAAATAGCAATAGATTGTGGAAACTGTACAGCTGTTTACAGTGATTTCTGGTAAACAACCGCTATTCCTCCAAACTATCAAATAATCTTAATGACTGTTATTTAATCTCTCTGGTAACTTGCAGGATCGACTAGATTGATCCTATGGGGTATTGGTCGTTTGGATAGTTCTAATTGTAAAACTGATATTCATAGTTGGGATCTGTGTTTGGAATGTTTTATAGACGTTCAACTTACTTCGATTACCATATTAAAAGGATCTAATGACATGATCAAGTAAAGACGTGCGAAACTAAGTTGCATGAATAAAGATTCGATTGCAAAGAAATATAAAACTGCAAGAAACAAGTAAATAACTTTGAAGTCTAAAAGCATGAAATGTAACCGAATTTCTGAAATGTAAAGGATTCGAAATGGAAAGAAATCGTTTAAATGCAAGAAATCAGTAAATGATTTTGAATGAAAAGGTATTCGAATGTAAAGAACATGAATATAAAAGCATGAAATGTAAAAGAAACCAATTTGTAGAGGATTCGAAATGGAAAGAAAGCGTTTAAATGCAAGAAATCAGTAAATGATTTTGAATGAAAATACTTTAATGTAAAGGCTTTTGAATGATATTGACATGAAGATAGAAGATAAACTGGAAATGATAAAGAGTTTTACTGAATCATAAATATTTGGTGTTATCATACGTACATTGTTCGAGCATTCGTTTCCCTAGCCATGTGGTATTTTGAATGTTTACTGAATTTTGTACA